ATTCTCCCTAGAGTGCTAGGTGTGTCTGTCTGTGTGTTTGTGTGTGTGTGTGTGTGTGTGTGTGTGTGATTTTGTTGTATTTGTGCTGATAAATAAATAAAGGGAGACTAGTATAGATCTATTTCAAGCTATTTAGCTCTCATCAGCTAGCCATACCCTTATGTGTGTGTGTGTGTGTGTGTGTATCAGATATCCTAAAAATGTTGCCTTACACAGCTACAGACTAGTATTTTAACATCCCGTGCGCTCTTCTCTGTTTGTCTATTTTACATGCGCAGCAGAATGTAGTAAAATCCTGACATGACAAATTGACTGCACCACTCCACAAGCCACCTCTACTACTCACTGCATTGTAATTCCAGGACTGAAAAAGAATCCATTTTCTGTGGTGCTTAGATGTTATCTGAAGTTTACAGTACCAGTTTTACTTTCAATAAACTGCTACAATAGACAACTTTTCTGAACAATCCAGTCCAGTTTACCATTCCTTTATCCCAACCTATGTATATGGTCCGCTACTTACACCAATGTTAGCTTATTGTAATAAACTATTTTATTTCCTTTGCTATTTCTTCCAGTAAGTCTTTACATGCATCTCTGCTGGACAGGCAGCAATCATTTGTTATTTCTAAATGAAAATATACTAAATTTTTGTTCTGGCTTTGGGAAACTGTAACACTGTGTTTAACTCGCTCATCTTTTGCAACTACTTGCAGTTCATGCCTTTCAATTACAAAAGGTTTTGCCTGCAGGAAAGAGGGAAATCTACTGATATTCTCCTATTCAGGCTATTCAAATAAGTCACCTAGGAAGCTGCTTGACTCCCTACCTGAGCGCATTCATACTATAAGAACTTTTTTAAAAAATGCCTTTTGTTCCAGCATGACAATCCAAACAGGATGATCGGAGGATGGAAAGACAAAGGCAAGGAGTGGGAGGAATTTAGTTCTTGAATGAAACTGTACTCCAGGCAGATAGTATCTATAAGATTGCGCTTATGTCTTCCAAAACCTGTAAATCCTGCTGGAGAAGTGGAAACTGATGGGAGGGTTGGTGTCAGCTGTTAAACAAGAAATCTAAATATTTGTGGCCTATTTTATCTGACAATTGCCTAAGGACAGAACTGTAGGTTTTAGTGTTTTCTGGGGAATAATAAAAGACATACTACAAAATACTTCTAAGCTAAAAAAAATCTCCAGCCAAAATAGCCCATTTAAAATTGGGTGTCATGTATCAAGACTATACACTAAGGCAAAAGCTGAGACCCAATTATTTTGAAACTGTGTTTTAACCCAATGGTAGCACTTTATGATGGAGACAACGGGTTTGGATTCTGACAATTGATTCTGTCAGGCATCTTATTCGTTTTCTCCATTCTTTTTTTTTTCTTCCCCTTGTTCAGTCCAGGCCACCTTCAACTTAATCAGATAGCAAGCGATTAAAGCCTCTTATCAACTCACCAATGAAAGAGGAGTACCTGATGTGCATTTAACAACCTCTCTGCTTTCACCTTGGACAAACACACATCACAATTTATTAAGTATGGAATGAGAACATTCTGGTTCTAATTACAGAAGTTTTTTTAAAACTGAGAAAACATCTCCTGCGATGAAAGACTGCTGCTATTTAAATGCTGAGTGCTACGCTAAATGGTCATATATAAAGCATTATGTACAGCCATATATCAACTATTTCAACTGGACAGAAAAAAAAACTGCATGTCTAGCAATCCAGGTCTTTCAAACTGACCATCTACTTTGCTGAAACAGCATTAAAGTGACAAATGATTATAATCCAGTGGCTCAAAGCCAGAAAGTTCTAAATACAACGATCTGTTAAAAAGAAAAACAACACCCTGACAACAATAAGCAAAAAGTAATATTATAGTAAGCTGAAACTTAGATGTATGGATTAGCTATAGAAACTCACAACGGATAATTCTGCAGAAAGCGCGTTCCATAAATGCATATTTTATAATGCTAATTCTAAAGTAAGGGAAGATCGTCAAACTTATCTGGAGGAATCATAGCAAGCCAATAATTCCATACACCTTTTATTTTTACAAGAAGGCTGCCAAAGCGTTTAGTCATGGTTTGTTGAGTAAGCCATGGTGATTTGAGGCATGCATCATACCTTGATAGGTACATCATACTACAGGTAGTCCTCAATTTATGACAATTGAGCCCAAAATTTATGTTGCTAGTGAGAAATTTGTTAAATGAATTTTGCCATTTTATGACCTTCCGTGCCACATTTGTTAAGTGAATCACTGCAGTTCTTAAACCAGTATACACCTTTGTTGTTAAGTGAATCTGGTTTTCCCATTGCCTTTGCTTGTCAGAAGGTCGCAAAAGGACCACATGACTCTGGGACATTGCGACCGTCGTAAATGTGAGTCGGTTGTCAAGCGTCCAAATGTAAATCACGTGACCATGGGGATGCTACCGCGATCATAAGTGTGAAAGATGGTCACAAGTCAATTTTTTCAGTGCCATTGAAACTTTGAATGGCCACTAAATGAACTGTTAGTGTACATGGGTTTCTGCATCATGGTAAGACTATAGTATAGTACAGCTTAGCTCCGAGGTCGACAATATTGCCTAGAGAATCTGGAGTAACTGCTTATTTCCCAAAAAAAGATATACTGACTCTATCCCAAATTGCAGAAATCACGTTTCAAATCTTGCAAAGCTGCAGCATTTTGTGAGAGCTCAGCCATTTTTTGTATGTACGATGAGGCTGTCATAGAACGAAGCCTTGGGCGGAAAGAATTTGGCTGAACATCATGTGAGAAACAACCTTTTCTAAGGTTGCATTCTAAATCAAAAGGTTGCTCTGTAGAT